AGAGAGAGGGAGTGGGAGAGGGGGAGAGAGAGGGAGAGAGAGAGAAGGGAGGAAAGGAGAGAGGGAGAGGGGGGAAGGGGAAAGGGAGAGGGAGAGGGAGAGGGAGAGAGACAGACAGACAGACAGACAGACAGACAGAGAGAGACAGAGAGAGAGAGAGAGAGAGAGAGAGAAAGAGAGAGAGAGAGAGAGAGAGAGAGAGAGAGAGAGAGAGAGAGAGAGAGAGAGAGAGAGAGAGAGAGAGAGAGAGAGAGAGAGAGAGAATAGACCTAGAAAGAGAGAAACCAAGAAACAGACAGAGAGAGCGAGAGAGCGTCCCTGAGCGAGGGTGAGACAAGATAGGAGGTGTCAGTGCTGGGCGCAGCGGCCTAAGACTCAAGACTCGACTACGGAAGGACTTGCACGGGAGGAGGGCCCTTGAGGCAGACTGACGAGGCTCACCGAAGTCTGAGACGAGAATTTTTTTTGCTTACGGAGCGCCAGAGAGTAATGGGCTGCACTACTCCACACGCCCGCATAGTATTTCAGCTGCCGGCGCAAGGAGGTAAAGAAGAATGGTGAAAGCAGGGAAGGGTTCACTCATTTTCACACTCATAAGTTAGGTCAGAAAAAAAATTGACTGAAGAACACTTTGTGAGACAAGAAACAACAACAAAAAAATATATAGTTTAAAAAGTATCCACGAAAGAGATCATGACGTCAGAGAAACATAAAAAACAGGATTTGAATCTATGTACATATATACACACATACACACATATGCATGTATATATGTATATAATAGATACATGTACTATAAACACATATATATACACATCAACTACGTGCTCACGTTTCCAAAAGGAATTTCGGGAGTCCAATCCGTTGTGTTCTCGTCTTCCAAAGGCGTCGGGGAAGGAGTCGGAGAGTTGGAATCGCTTGTGTCGCCGTCGGAAACTTTGTCCTTGTCGTCGGCGCTCTCCGTGGGCGTCGTGGTGGAGCTGGAAGTGCTGGATGAGGACGACGAGTTGCTCATCGCAGACTCGCCGATGTGATTGCCGTTGTGATTCGCGTTGTTGGCGTCGGTGTGCTCGGGTGTTGCCGGAGTGCTGTTGACCGAATCGTCGTCTTTGTCTTCTGAAGGTGTTGTCGGCGTCGTTGGCACAGTTGGAAGCCGCTGGAGCTGCGAGTTGGAGACTGTGGTGGCGTTTGAGCCGATCCTTGCTTCCCGTAAGCTCTGATGACAGAATATTAAAGTTACCCCTATATTATTTTCATTTTCTTTGAATATGAACGCGGAGTGAAAGAAAATGTATATAAGGCTAAACTAAATATTTATATATATACATTATATACATATACATGTGTGTGTATATATAGTATATATATATGCACACACACACACACACACACACACACACACACACACACACACACACACACACACACACACACACACACACACACACACACAAATATATATGTGTGTGTGTGTACATATATATATATATATATATATATATATATATATATATATATATATATATATATATATATGAATGAAGAAAACACTCTACCGTGTTGATACTATGGTAGAAAAACCCACAATGTAAAAAACTAGATTTATTAAAAATGAGACAACAGTTTCGGAATCCACCTGGATTCCATCTTCAGGTCTGAGGATGGAATCCAGGTGGATTCCGAAACTGTTGTCTCATTTTTAATAAATCTAGTTTTTACATTGTGGGTTTTTCTACCATATATATATATATATATATATATTATATATATACATATATACATATATGTATATATATATATATATATATATATATATATATATATATACATATATATTTATTTATACATATACATATATATCTATTTATATATATATATATATATATATATATACATACATATATTTATTTATACATATATATATATATATATATATATATATATATATATATATATATATAAAAACTGAACCATCCTTCATTTTCCTAAGTCCCGACGCTTTGTTCTCCACTCACCTGCGAGGCCGAGGTGTTCCGCTCGTCCTCGGACCAAAGCCTCGAGCGAGAGAAGCGAGGACCTCGACGTCTCGGCCTCAAGGGTTCTTCGCGCTTGATCAGGAAGGTCTCCACGCTATGATCCTGGAATAGAAAGGAAGCTGTTGAAGTATTTGTTTAGTTTTTGCTAAGTGATTATTCTTGTACATGTTAATGTTATTGGTCTTTACAAATGTTGCCCCTCATAATATTGGATATTGAGGTGGGTGAGAGATGGCTCTGTAAGATTATATTATAGGCAATGGTGTAGGCCCGTGTTAAACGTGCAGTGGGACTACACTGCTATCGAAAACCATCCTTTGGAAGATGCTGCAAGCAAACCAGTAGGTTATCCAATTAATCGTTACAAATGGATATTTATCTCGGACAGTGTTAACCAGTCACATCAGTGCCCTCGAAATCTTGAAAGTCGCAATGTAACCCTCAAAGAAAAAATAATAATAACAAAGAATAAAAGAATGGATAATTATGAAAAAAACAAAATATAAAATGTCAGGGGAATTGGAAGCTAAAAGTTCTTCAACTAACCTTCAAGTATTGGTCCCTAGTCCACCCATGTCCGGGTTCCACCTCGTAAACACCATTCAGACATTCTACGGTGGCTTTGGACACGTGGACTCGCCTGGGGAAGAAGCACCATTAAGGGACTTTTATACGGTTATTGAAATGTTCTTTTCTCTCTTTCTGTAGGTGTGTCTGAGTGTATATATACATGTATATGTATATATATACATGTATATATATACATATATATGTATACATATACATATATATGTATATATATACATATATATACAATATATGCACACACACACACACATAAATATATGATCATAAATAAATACATATATATATACATATACATAGTATAAATAGATATGTATCACACACATATATAGTACACACACACACACACACTAACACACACATACATATAACCATCCATCAGAGAGAGATGGACAGAGAGAAAGAAGCAAAAAAGAGCAAGGAAAGGACAGAGAGAAAGGAACAAAGAGAGCAAGACATTTCGCCATCCGCACACACTCGAACAAAGCACAGAACCCGATCCAGGGACAAAGCACAAACTCAGAGACCGGCTCCGTCCACGTCCCTTCGGATCAGGTGGGATTAACGGCTTTAACGGTTTTAACGGTTTTAACAGCTCTAACGTACCCAGGGATCCCACCAGACTCCATATGGTTGGCGAGGGTGACGTCATAGGACCAGACGTCGAACTGCCACTTCCGCAGGCCTAGGACGCCGCACAGGACAGCTCCCGAGTGGATCCCGATTCTCATGTTGAGGTCCACCTTGAGGGGGAAAAAGGAAAAGAACGTGTAGTTGATATTGTTTACATTACTGTACATTATGAATATTACTTTTTTGGTAATGCATTCACTGGTGTGATTGTGGCATATGTTTCTTGCATATAGAGCTACTACAGTTCAACTGATGTGCATTTACGTATACATACATATGTGTTATATACTAATCTATACATAAACACTAGTATATAAATATCACATAATAGCTAAATATAACACAATATCTTCCGATTAATTGCCAAGCTGGTAGATATTTATTCCTTTCACAAAACGCAGCCACACACACACAAACACACAACACCACAATTCCACACAACCACAGTCGTAAAAAGACAAAAGCCCCGTCTTCAATCCCATTTTGACAATACTCAGGCTTGAATGGCTACGTCCAGCAAAACCTCTTTAAGTGGCCGCAAACTCTCCTAACTTCAATTAAGATAGTTAGATGGCGCTGTAAAAAGGGGTGAGGGAAACGGATTTCTCTGCAGGGAAAGGAAGGATGGAGGATGGAATAGTGGATGAAAAAAAGGCTGGAGGGGTAAGCAAGGACAAGGAGAAAGGAGAGAGAAAGAAAGACGGAACGTTGAAGGAGATCGGAGGGGGGGAAGAAGGAAGTTCCTGGATGGAGAGATGGAGGAGGCAAGAAAATATAGAAAGAAGGGGAGAGGGTCGAAGTGATGAAAGAGGGAAAAGAAAGAAACGGAGGGTAAGGAAGCAGAAAAAACAGGCGTTGGAAGCATGGAAATAAGAAGGAAAAAAAGAAAATATAAGGGAAAGGAGCTGGCAGCTGACAGGGAGGAGGGGGGGGACGGGATAAGAAAGCTTTGAATGAAAACAGTTATATGGAAGAGAAGAAAAGGAATGAGATGGAAAGAGAGAAACTAGGAATAGGAATGAAAACGTAAAGAATGGGAGAGGGGGAACAGATGGAAACATGGAGGGAAGTAGGGATAAAGAAAAGAAGGAAAGAATGGAAGGACGGAGAAAATGAAGAATGGAAATGGGGAAGAAGGACAAGAGGGAGAAACTGATTTAAATGTGAATATAGGGAAAAGAAAACCTGAAAATGCATATAGTAGTAGAATAGGGGAGAAATAAGGAGAGAGAAGGAAGAAAAAAGATAAATGGAAAGACAACTGAGAGCAGAAAAATAAGAGAATCTAGAACAAGAGAAACGAGTGGAAAGGGGGAGATGGGAGCAAGAGGAGAAGAAGTAATATCAGTAATGGAGGCAATGAGGAAATAGGAACTGGGGAAGAGAGAGAGAGAGAGAGAGGCTACTAAGGGAATGAGAGATGAGAGATGGAGATGCGGAAGATAGGATAGAAGTGTGGGAAGTGAGAAATGGAAATCTGGGAGATGAGAGATGGAGGTACAAGTGTGGAAGATATGAGATAGAAATTTGTGAGACATGATATAGAAATATGTGAACTGAGATACAGAAATGAGACAGATGAAAGGTATGTAGGAAATACGGAATAAAATTGTGGAAGATTAGAAAGAGAAATAGGGTTGATGACAAGTAGGGATGCGGAAAAAGAGAGATAGAAATGAGGGGAAATGATATGTAGGGATGCGAGAGGTGAGAAAGAAATGGGGGAGATGAGAAACAGAAATGCAG